TAAAGCACTTGATAATTTCGAAAAATGTCTCGCAATAGATGAAAAAACGCTACCTGAAAAACATCCAGATTTTGGTATAACATATAGTAATATTGGTGATGTTCATCGATTAATAGGTAATTATGAAAAGGCACTTGCATTTCATCAAAAAGCATTAAATATTCAAGAAAATATTCAATGTAATCCTCTGGAATGTGCATTGACGTATATGAATTTAGGCGAAACTTATCGTGAAATGAAAGATTATTCAAAAGCATTGACATATTTCGAAAAAGGATTAGAAATACGTGAAAATAAATTACCAAAAAATCATCCAGATTTAGCTGTTGTATATCATAATATGGCAAAACTATATTTGGCTACACAAAAATATAGTATAGCAATGAAAAATATTCAACAAGCAGTTGAAATAGCTCAAGAAAAATTACCTTCAACTCATCCTCATCTTTTGGAATATAAAGAAACATTTGAAAAAATTCGAAAGAAAATGTAATTTATGTTTTTTTTCGTTTATTTGCTCAATAAATTGGTTTTGATTCTTTTTCACTTCCCTACTTTTCTAGGCTAATTTTCACGCGTACGCGCGACCAGGGAGATGCCACATAGGTGTACCGTACATAATGACGACAGGGACCTATGTACATTAAAGGCCTTCCCGAGCACTATATGATTCGATGCAATTCGACAAGCTGATTCCGAATATCACTTTAATTTTGGGCCACAATTCTGCTATAATTGGAAAAAGAGAAGCTTAGTGGCAAAAACCTGGATTTTTGGAAGACTTCTAGCACAGCCTGTATTTATCGGCGTGAGTTTGTGCTCAGGTCGACGATAGATCACATATAGAAGAATAATCGGTAAAAGTTGAAGGTCAATCGGACTTAAACTCTTTGTAAGCTTTGCAAAATACGAAATGACCAACTTTCGGAACACTAACTGGTGCGGGAACCGAGATTTTTTCTCGAAAAATGCTGAGTCTTATATATGATTCGATGCAGTTCGACAAGCTGATTCCGAATATCACCTTAGTTTTGCGCCACAATGCTATGGTAATCGAGAAAATAGGGATGCTGGAGGAAAAGCCTGGGTTTTTGGAAGACCTCTAGCACAGCCTGTATTCATCGGCGTGAGGTTGTGCTAAGGTCGACGATAGATCACATATAGAAGAATAATCGGTAAAAGTTGAAGGTCAATCGGACTTAAATTTTTTGTAGGGTTTGTAAAATACGGAATGATCAATTTTCGGACCTACTTTTAGCCCGGTAATCAACTTCTTTCTTATCTAATTTGAGTCCAATCAAAATCATTTTTTTATCACAATGAACTCGATAGAGCAATCATTCGTTTTGGATAGTTTTTCTTTTTAAATATTTCCGTTAAGTTGGTCGAAGAATTAACTTTGCTTGGAGATAGCGATTTATGAGCAAGTTTATAAAAATGAAGTTTTCCAGAGTTCTCCTTAATTTCTGGAAGTTTTATTTCAAGGCAAAATAGACTAATCTTATATGTATTTATTCTAATATTTAAACTTTGGAAAAGAATACTTTCGTTCATGCCCGCCTTGTTGCCCACTGTGTGGCAGTCTCCTTCGAACGGTAAAAGCTACAACTCTTTTTCTTCTTCCCTTTAAAAGTTATTTGCTCTCAAACACTATCGGGTGACTTTTCAATCACCCTGTATATTCACCGCAGATATTAATGAAATTCATATATGAATGAAAAATAAGAATCTCTCAACAAACTCCTATAAATTATGGATCATTTCTGTACACTCAAATTTATTCTTTATTACAGGTGTTTTACTGTAATTAGAAAGAAACTATGTCTATATAGTAAGTTTGTTAAAGAATAAAGACAAAAAAGATAACGAAAATAAGCAAAAAAAGAATGTCTAATAGCTGATATCTGCGTTAGAATTAAAGCGGGATAGATATAATTTCAATAGCCGGACAATAAGAATAATTAACGATCTGAAGTTTTCCACACATCCACTTCTCTTTAATTCTTGCATGGAAATTAGTTCAATTTAAGAGAAAATAATTATAATTTCATCTGAATACGTCTATAATACGAATGAAAGTATATCGTAGTAAGATTATAGAATTATCTGAATCTATCCATTTCAATACCCCAGATAATTCGATGATAGTCATATGATTGTATTTAAACGAATAATTCTTTTATTTTAAATATCTTGAGATAATGAAACAAACAAAACAGAATCTTACAATTAATAAGACTTTGTGCTTTTGTTTTTTTCCATTTTCATTCTCAACAAAACTATAAAACCTTTTATTTATCTCTTCCATTTTCACCGAGATGAACCTTTGTTTTTATTTCGTATGCACTGTTTTTCATATAACAAAAAAAACAAGAACAAACAGAGAGAGAGAAAAAAAATCATCTGACATACAGCCACTATCAGAAATAGGAAAAAGAAAGAAAAACATATCTGACATACGCACACACACATATATATGTATCGTTTTAATCGCACCGGTTTCTTTTTTTCACACAAATCTGCTTACTAAATATAAATGAAAACAAACAAAAGAAAAGAAAAAAAAAAGTAAGATAAGTAAAATATAGTTCCTGTTCTTTATATTCTATTGTATTATTCTTCATCATTATCATCTTCATTTTGTTGAGGTTCTTCTTCATAAATAGCATAATCTTGTACTTGATATTGAGCTATAGATTCAATAATAAATTCTGGCGAACAAAATCTTATACCTAATTCAACACATTTCCAATATTTATCTTGACGTTCTTCAACATATGATTGTTCACATAGAACAACAATCATTTTACCTTGTGCGGTCCATCGTGTTACTTGATCTGTACGTAATGATGAACATGTATAACCACCACATAGTGTTATTAATGTACGTAATTCTTGATTATCCATTAACTAAATATAATCAATTTTTAAAAAAACACAAAAAAAAACTTATCAGCACAGTCTTTTTGGGATTAAAAATGTGAAACTTGCATGTGTTCTTTAGCTTCATTATATTAATACAAGATTCGTTAAGTGAGAAAAGTCTCTAGTAGATTATAGTTGTTTTGCAAGAGTAATCAATCGTTATGGAACAGATCTGTCGTGTTTCTTTTCTTAAGGACGTTTTATTTTTGTTTTGACTTGTTGCTATTCGCTCGTTGTTTTTAATTTTTGTATTCCGTTCTTCTTAGTTTAACATTATTATTCTTATTATTCTAATCATTGATTTAAATCTCATCGCTCCTCAAGAATTGATTCCGAGCCAAATACATTCAAAACCATACGAAATTTTCAGGATATGTTGGATCTGTAGTAGAGAAGCTATGGTAAAATTTTCAGTCATATATCATAACGTCTTTGAGAGATATACGCCAAACAAGAGTGAAAATTATTCATTTGGCAACCCAAAATTCTCTTCAAGTCTTCATTCTATACTAAAAAAGTCAATTTTCGTGAAGAAAATCCAAATTGAGATAGCACGAGATCTGATCTTTTATAAATGACATCATTTTTTATTTAGCGTCTCGATTTTTTTTACCAAAACTTTTGATGATTTTCCGTGACCTTCTGTTTGAAGAATATGTGCTTTTTAGAAAAAGAGTGAATAGTTTTCACTTTTTGATTGTACAACCGAAAATTCTCTATGAGCATTCATTCTATATAAAGAATTTTTTCTGTGTTTGAAAAATATAGAGTTCTTTTTTTGTATTAAGTTCCATCACTATGATATAAAAGAGTATATATGATTTATCAGTTAATTCGCTAAAAATCATCGAATATTTATTTATAATCTTCAGCTTTGGTTGGGAAAACGTTTTTATCGTAGTTCTGGCCCTAATATCAGCAACACCTCTTTGCCTTAATCCCGCACGTTTCTGATCACTACTCATCATTCTTGATATCTCGATATGTATTTTTTATCTGTACAAAAATAAAACAAAAAAACTTCACTATTTAGAAAATTCACAAACATATTTTAGCCATTCAAATTTTGCGAAAGGCTTTGGAATATTCTAGAACAGTCTAACGAGAGAATCTTCTCAGTTATCCTCCACTGATTTCAATGATTTTTGTCTATAGATACTACATAGTGTTCTAATAAAAACTCTAAAAGGATTTTGGTTCCTATTAATATCTGACTAAGCTATCGAACTTTTAAGATGTTTATTTCCCAGAGGATCTCAAATTTTGAGGATGTTCATTCAAAACTTGTGAATTTTTTTAAGAAAGCTAGTCTAATTGAATTCTCTATATACATAAATTTTCAGATCAAAATTTGAAAATACGGGTTTTCCGAAAACTTGAAGTTCTCTAGAATATAGGTATATTAAAAATTCAATAACTTAATCAAATGTAATAGAAACTGAAATCTTCTATTAGCGTTTTTGGTAGAGTACTATGTAGTATCCATAAGCAAAATATCATTGAAATTGGAAGAAGACAGCTGAGGAGGTTTTCTCGTAAGTCTTGTTGTCTATGTCATTCTGTGTCTTTTGCCGTTGTTATGGAACTTTTAGCTTGCTGCGTGTTGCTCTCGAATGCTATGAAAACATACTCAATGATCGTTGTTGCCTCCCTCTCTCTTATGATGGAGGAACCTCAAAACATCGACTTAAAACTAACATTCACTGTGTTTTTTTTTTCTTCGAAAAACATCATGTGAATTGTACAACGACAAACAAATTATTCAAAATTATATTTACATTTTGTACACCATTACATTTAAGCATAAATATATATTTAGAAAATAATGAATGTCTTCGTGGTATAAGACGTGAACGTTGCATACCACCATGATACATTGTTGAGCATGTTAAATCACCACGGATTTCAAATTGTAAAGCTAATTCATCAAGTAAAAGTTTATTACAATGAAGACATTCATCAATCCAACGTATTGATAAAACAGTTAAATGACGTGCTAATGCATGAACAACTTTTGATGATAAAGCACATATAAATGGAATTGTTGTATCATCAGTTATTAAATGTGTTGTTTTTTCATCGATTTCATCCGAATAATGAATATTAAAACGTTGAAGAAATTGATCAAGACGATCCTGATTGAAATAATCGATTCATAATAATAATAATAATAATTGATTTTTCTTTTTTTTTTGATTCTTCTTACCATTTGTTCATCAGTTAAACGAGATGCAGTTATTGAAATTGATTTTTGAGCCAAAATATAATCATCAGCATGACTATCCATTGAACTAGCAGATGAACATGCTTGATTAGACTAAATATACAAATAAAAAAAAAGAAGAAAATGCAAAATTCAGTTTTTTTCATCGATCATCTTACATCGGATGTTGCAGTTGATTCATCTAGAGTTGTTGATGTATTAGGTAAAATTGATTGAACAGGTGGTACTAAGATTATAAAGAAAAAAATAAAATAAACAAAAGTCGATTTTCTTATGATAAGAAAAAAATAATAATAACATACTATTTTGACTTGAATCATATCGACATCGTTTAAGAAGAACCCATTCATCTGATTTTCGACGTTTATTACTATTGTTATTGACTAGAGATATTTGCGACGATCGTTTGTTTATAGATGTTGATGCTAAATCATATGAGAATAAGATGATATGTATATGATCATGTATTTATTAATAGAACAAAAAAAACAAAAATAATCAGAAATATTCATAAGAATATTTTTCGAATAGAAGACTATGACAAGTCGAAACTAATTAAGTACTAACAGTTGTCACATAAAGTTTTTAGAGACAAAAAAATTTTCAAATAAAATGTTTGCTAATAAGCTGTTGTATTTGAAAAGAACTTCCTGCCGGGTTTAGTGACCTATCTTGAACCATGCTATCATATATCAGCTTGTCCACGTAACTTCGTAATAGCGTTACGTTTTTGCTCATTTTGTTTTGACCATAACTTTGAAAGGACAAGTCGTAAAGAGACGAGCAACGTCTTAAATTAGAGAGAAATTTGTTTTGAAGATTTTGAGATCTACCAGAGCTCATAAAAGTGTTTCCTCGAAAACCTATCGCTGAAATGCTAACACCTACTTTTGCAAAATTCATCAAAAAAGAGGGTACTAGTATTTTGGTTATAGATTTTCGGAAACACATGTTTATGAGCTCGAACAGATTTCATAATTTTCAAAACAAATTTCTCTCCAATTTAAGACGTCGTTCGCCTCTCTACGACTTGTCCTTTCAGAGTTATGGTCAAAACAAAATGAGCAAAAATGTAACGCCGTTACACTCTGCCGCTAGCGTTACGTGGACAGTCCGATATATGGTTTTGTGGAACATTGAATGGTATATAAGAAATAAACTTTTCCTCAAATTTTGATGTGTAGTGAGTCCATACACTGGTTATAATCTTTGAGAAATATAGATGATACTCATAGATATTGTAGTCCATAAGATAAACTCATGCAAATTTAGTTTTTAAACTAAATTCGATACAGTTGTCAGTTCTCTTCAATTTTCTATAACCAATAATTTTCATCATTGCTTTCTTCATACTTAAAAATAATTTTGTTTTCTTTAGGTTATATCTTAACTATATAATATTCTAATGTGTTCAACTCTATATCACGGAACACGTGAGTATCAACGTTAAGCTTTTTCAAAAGTTTTACACAATCGCACTCTATATGTTTCACAGAGAACAGCAGGAACTCATTGTCAATTTGCAAGATTGTTTCCCAGAATAGTTTATTTTTCTACATGCAAGAGTTGACATATTGACGATAGTTTAATAATATTCAAAGGTCGTTTTTAAAATTTATTTTTAGCTATAATCAACACAACATCTCTGATGAACTCTTTTATCCATAAGAAAGACTTTTTTACTTCCGTACTTCCTTTCAACGGTGCAGAAATCAAAAAGTCTTTTTCATTTATAGAAGAATTATTTATATCAATTCATCAGAGATGTTGTACTGATTATAGTTAAATAAAAATTTTTTTTTAAAAGAACTGTTGAATATTGTTAAAATATCGTCAATATACCGACCCTTGCATGTAAGAAAATAGGCTATTCTAGGGAATAACCTTGCAAATTTGACAATGAGTTCGTGTTGTTCTGTTTGATTGTGTAAAGTTTCTGAGAAAATTTTACATTAATAACACTTACAATTCGGTTGTGCTGTTTTTCGTCGCCAATCTATTTATAAATCAAACAAAAAGAAAAAAGAAACACATTATTAAATAAATCGATAACCTACTTTTAAGACCAAGAGTTAAAGGTGTTTCAATAGCTAAAAATAATATTCATTCTAATTAAATTTTAATATTAATAAATATACTAACAACATCGAAGTTTTGATGGTATCATTGTTGTTGTTGTTGCCTTTGATGATGCAGCAGCAGCTGCTGATTGTTGAATTAATTGTCTACGTTTTGATTCATTAACAGTTATACCTGATATTTGATGATAATGTCCAACACAAAGACTTCTATAAGCAACAAATGCCTGACATTCTTCTCCACCATCATATTTACATAATTGTCTCCAAACTCGTCCATTAAATCTTTGTCTTTCAATTGAACCATCACGTCGAACATGTACACGAATTTGATCTTTATCAGGTAAATTTGACGATGTACTTGCTGTTGTCGTCATACTTTTATTAATATTAGATATTTTTTTGTAATTTTTTTTTTAAAATTATTATCTATTACAATAAAAGAATAAAGTTACAACTGAAGCAAAATATAAGAGTTCATTCTTAATCAAACATATCTTGATTGATATTTTTTTTTGTACAAAAAAAGTACTTAATATAAAAACGACAAAACAAAATATATAAATAAATTTCAATTATAGTGGTGTTTCTTCATATAATGAATATAATTTTAGACGATATTCAAGTATGGATTCAAGAACCCAATCAGATGAAACAAAATGTATACCCAATGAATGACATTGATCATAATTATGACGTCGTTCTGATACATATAATTTATCACATAGAACAACAATTTCAAATTGATCAAGTAAATTTTGTGTAACACATGTTATTATTCGTCCACCACATATTGTTATTAAACTTTGTAAACGTTCATTTGTCATTTGAATTTCATTATTTTCAGTACATTTTATCATAAAACATATATTCTCAAAAAGTGAATTATGTTTATCAATTGTACGTGAACGTTTTGGACCACCTTGAGGATGATAATCTGTATCATCACCTTCAATTTCATATCGCCCTTCGTCAATAATTCGATCATATTTAACACAGTCAAGTAACCAACGATATGAAACACAATAACAATGATTAGCTATAGCTTCAATTAATTTCATTGATAATGGTGAATGTAATGCATGTTTATCATCATTTGTTATTAAATGTGTTGTTTGTGAATTAATTGTTGTTGTTTGAGAAACACGAGGTGAAAATTTTCGTAGAAAATCATTAACAATATCCTATAAATATTTCATATGATTATATATATATATATTGAAATTATTAAAATAGAATAATTTACTAATTGATCACGTTCAAGACATGTTACAGAAAAAATAATTGGTTTATTTGCATCTCTCTAAATAATAATAAGAAGAAGAAGAAAAAAAAAGAAGATTTTATTCATTATATTTTATATTAATATAAAACATACACGAAATAGAATTGGCATTTCATCAGTATCCAATTCAGTTATTGTTAATGTTGATGGTGGATTTGTTGTATTTGCAGATGATTCACTAGCTATTGGTTGAATTTCATATATATTTTCATGATTAATAGATTTATTTGAACTTAAATTATTGTTTAATTCATCTGAAGACGATTTTTCTGTTACATGATGAGTACGTCTTTGATGTTTCTAAAATGATTATAATTTATAAGAAATAAATATTAAATTTTTATTTTTATTTTATTATAAAATATAATTTCTACTTGATAACATCAAGAATAGATAATAAATAAGACGATCATATAGAAAAACTTATCCGAGTCATTAGAACAAATAATACAGTGAAAATATTTAGTAGTTGCTATAGTTCATTTTTATGATTTTATGTCGAGGTGATTGCATATTTTTTTTTATGCTATAAAAACTTTGTATAAATGGAATTCTGCTGCACAAAACTGAAGCATCGTATTATTTAGATATGAAATGCTGTACCGATATAGGACTTCAAAAACTCGAATTTGGTATTTAATGAGAATAATATGAAAGAATCTCAAATGTCTCATCATGATTACATATATTGACGAAAAAAAAGAACAAAAAAGTTCTTCTTTTTTCTTCTTGACAATGAAGATTATGAGTTTTCCTTGTCATTCGACCGGACAAAAACGGTCGGTATAATGTGCTCTATACCGGCTGTGTTCATCGGTAGTAGCAAAAGCCACAGATATACCAGCAATCAACTGGTGATAGTTTAATTCTTAAATGGTTGACTATCTTTTGACCGCCATTATATTGCGATATATCAATAGGTTACTCTGACCGGCAATCTACTGCCTGTAACCGGTAGTAATACAGACAAACATGCGATACGAGTTGTTTCAATAGTATCTTAGAATTAGTTTTCTTAATGAAGGTATTTTCATGTTTATTAATAGACATTGGTTTGTTTTGTCACGGAACAAAATAAATAATGATTGCTTGCAGGTTTCGGAGTATAGTTATTAAAGAAGACCTTAATGCACGCTACTAAAATAAATTCTTGCATCTAATATTAAGAATAAATATTGGAAATTCAGTCGTCTATTTGGTGATTGGTAAAGACATTGTTTGTTTATATAAATTGTCCTTTTCCCTATCGGTGAAAAAAAAACAACAGTATACATACGAACCTTAATGTATTCAGAACGATAGAATTTGTTACATATATTACATTTTATTTTGCTCAATGGTTCAAGGTGTAATTTAGACGCTGGTCTTGGACGTAACCGACCTTCTCCAATATCCCATTGATTAACTAACATCGGTAATGGATCTTGTTCCATTGCATTATCTATTTCGGAACACATATCTAAATAAAAAAAAAAAAAAACAAATGAAAATCATCATAATTTGAATCTTTAATTAGTTAATTAATTAATTAATTAATTACTTGAGTGATCACTTATTAAAGTATTGGTTTCAATTTGAGAATTACCAATCTATATTAAAAAAAAAACAAAAAAATTAATTAAATTATTAATTTTTCTTTTGAATAATTTTACTCCTGGTGTATGATTATTATTCGATATAATTGTAAATTTTCCTTGATGTACTCTTCTCATATGACGTAAATAAGCTGATCGATGTGCAAATTCATGTTGACATCTTGAACAATATTTATTTTTAGGATTTAATTGTTTTCGTCGATGAATTTTTGTACCATTATTTTCAAGTTTATCTTCTATTGTTATAGAACTTTCCGTATCAATTTTATATTCATCTATTAAAAAGAAAATAAAAAATAAAATATCGTATTAAACTAAATATTTACTTAGAGGTTTGATATTTTTTATTATTGTTCGTTGTGATTCAATATTATTTTCATTTTCTTCAGAAATTTTCGATGTAACATTTTGTTGATTTCCATTATCATTAACACATATTGTTGAAATTTCATCTAAACAAAACAAACATTAGTAAAAGAACAAAAAGTTTGATTTTCTCTCATTTTTATTATATTCTACCTTTTGTTAAACGTCGTATACGTATTATTGGACGACCAGATGCTTTTTGCTTAGCAAGTGCATGTTCAACATAATATGTTCGTTTTTTTAATTTATAAATTTCTTTTTGCATTTGAAAAAGTACATTTGTCATTGCTATTACATATTGTCGATTAAGTGAATGTGTAAGATGAAATAATTTGTCATATCGATAACGACGTTTTGGTAGACGAAAACCATCTATTATTTATGAATAAAAGAAAAATAAAACAAATTTTTTTTTGTTATTGTTGTTGTTATTATGTTTTTTTTTTCTTAATCTAATTTACTTTTTAATTTTGATGAACACCATTTAAATGACCGATCAGTTGTGCTTACCGACGTACTGGATGAGGGCGAGGGTGTATTAATATATGGATCTCTATTCATATTGTTATCATGCATAAGAATAGAACCATCACTTTCATCAAATGATATATTACTTGCAGCTGATGATACAAATTTATCAGGAGAATAGTTATGTGGGAGTTTCGAAGGACCAGCTGTTGCCATCGGTTTTTTTTTAATTAAACCGAATATATATATATATATATCTATATTATTAAACAAAAAAGTCATTAACTTGAAACGCAAAAAATTCTTATTGCTGTTTTTTTTTGTATTAAAAATTTGCAGTAAAAGAAAAAAGAAAAAACATTACTCTTGGCGATTCAAGAATAAAGAAAGAATAGAAGTTTTGGTACAATAATGTTTGCAGTCATATTTTCGGCGAAACACTGTCATCTTATCTGAAATAGGAAAGAAAAAAAAAAGTGTCACGATAAAATATTCAAACTCTATTGAAGGTCATAAGTTTTGCTGGCGATAATATTTTTTTTTTCTTTTCTGATAAAAAAAAAAAAGAAGCTTGAGTGTATGCATTACATTGCCTCTTCCTAGTTGTGCGCAGAAATATAAAGAATGAAAAAAAAACCCAGAAAAAAGGCAAACACATAAAATAGACACAGATGATGTGACACTCATACGCAGATGAAGTTTTTCGATAAAATATACAATGCCTTTTTTGTTATTATTAAACTGCACACGTGAATGCTTAAAAGTCCTTTTGTTCGTCTTGCTTTTTAGCTTCACATGGTACCCATGATAGAACAACAATTCTTTCTTTATCTGTTGATGTTGATGGTTGTGAATTTAATGGTCGGAATTCAGCTGCTTCAGGATTTAATTTAGTTTGTTGTGAGCTTTCAATCTAAAAAATAATGAACAAAACAATTAATAAAAAAAAAAAAAGAAAAAGGCAAACAACGTCATTTCACAAAAAAAAAACATGACTTTTTTTTGTCGACATGACAAGAATTACCAGATTATTTGGCATTTCAGCAGTAGAATATTCTTGTTCCATATAATGCATACATTCACGCATTTGTTCAAACATTTCATCTTGCTAGACGAGACAAAAAAAAAAAAATAAGAAATGAATAAATATTAAATTTATATTTAACATAAAATATCTATTTATTATGTAAATTTATTATTATTATTATTAGAAAAAAAAACAGAGCAATTTATTGCTATGTGAATACCTCTTCTTTGGAAAAATTATTCCATATCTAAAATAAAATGATTTATTTTTTTGTATGTTTTATGTTTTTTTTCGATTAGTAAAAAAAATAAAGCATTATGCTAATATACCGGACTATTCTGATTCCAATGTTGTAAATACTGAAGGTATAATAATAATAAGTATTTAAATTAATCATCGAGAAAAGAAAAAATATAAATATGTTCTTCGTTCCTACCTCATTTTCATATCGAACAAATGCATTTTGTATAGCATCGGAATAGATAGTTTCATCTTCATCATTATCATTTAATTCTTCATCTGTCATTCTTTCTACTGTTGCTTCAAGTTCATGTTCAAGTTCATGTTCAAGTTCATCTGGAATATCATCATCATCTTGATATTGTTCATCAGTGTATGATGGATTCATAAAATCATAAGAATGTCTACAAATGAATTCATATTTATAAATATTGATAAAGAAATTTTCTTACATTTGTCCTGTTGAATCATTAGGAAGACCACTAGACATAGAAGATGATTGATCATTGAGATTTGAACTATGAAAATAAAGAGTCAATTTTAATAATGATTCTATTATCAAAAGTATCATCAATATTTTTAGAAAATTTCGAGAGAAATATGAATGTTTTTCTGTATAGAAAAATACAATAAATATTTACGTCTAAAAATACTTTTGTACTCAATAAATTATGTATGATGTTAATTACTAATTTATAAGAGATATGAGGTCAAGTCTTTATTACTTTTTTGAAATGATTAATTTTACTTTCAAATAATATACACTGGAAATGTTACTAAAATATATATCTGACTTATGACAACCTTTGTTTTTTTTCTTGAAACCTACGATATATAAAAATATTATATTATATATTACATTTTAAGATAAAAAGAAAACAAATGAATCATGATGTTTTAACGATAAAGAGTTGATTAAGCAACTTTTAAAATGTTGTTATTTACTTGATGATGGTTGGAAATTTCTTTCTTTCTGTTCTTATAGACTCAAGTTTATTTGAAATTTTCATAGACAAAAAAGATAACCATCGTTTAATTTTGATTTATTTATCAATTCATGAAAAATAATAATTCTAAAATTTTCTTCATATTGATTATAGTTTTTCAATTAAAATCATCTCTCATAAAATTAACTTTCTCATTGAGTTATAATTAAAACTATCAACTTTTTTATATCATAACATACGAATTGTTTGAAGCTATTGGTGGATCAACTTCATAGTCGCTGTATAGAATATTAGGAGAAGGTCCTGGAGGATTAGGATTTATATTTTGTGTTTGATCATTATTAGAACTATTTGATTGTTCTTGAGACGAAGACATCTCTAAAATAATAGATATAAAATTAATTTTCTATGAAAATATTCCAATTGATCATAATACTATTATTTTTCTTTTCAATTTATAATAGATGAAGAAAACAAGAAAATAGATTAATAAAAAAAATATGTAAACGAAATAACAACCGAATAGTATGTATATAGATAGATATTCTATTTTTGACTATTGGTAATAGACATCATGCAATACAATGATAACATCGATAGTAGCGTAATATCTGTTTAATGAAATCATATTAACACATGAAAATATTTGCTTTTTACAGTAATGGGAATATTTATATGAAATTATTTGAATTTTAAAGATGATATTTATTTATTAATATATTAATAGATGTCACTAATAATCAACAAACCTTTTTTTGTGTATTTGAAAAAATTAAATTTAATATAATTTAAGATGTGTACATTATGAAATTTTTTTTTTGTTCACTTTTTATGCATAGGTAAATATAGAATACATTGAGTTATTAAGAAAAAGTATTTTTTCAATTTTTGAATGTAGATTTTTCAAAGAAACAATCTCGAATTTTTTGACTTCATTACAACGTATGACAATTTTTCATTAAAATGTTAATGTCGTTTTATTTTTCGTCCTGCGCAACTATATAGATATTTATTTCCGCGAATTGCAAGACAAAGTTAACGAGTGCAAAGTGATTGTATAATTATTTTTATCTGTTTAATTAGGTTGTGAGGCGGAAAGAATGTCTGCATAGTTGCAGAGAGTAAAAAAAAAGATGTATCGTATTTACGCTTGCAAAAATTGATATCTCTTATAGTGAACTCTAAAATTCGAGATCGTTTTTGAGAAGCCTACTTTTGAAAATTGGAAAAACACTTTTCTTTGATAACTTAATGCGTTCGATACTTGATCATACATAAATTTAGAATTTGCATGCAAATTACATATACCTCAAAAAAAAAAAGAATATTTTAGATATACTCTATGTAATGAATGAGTATTTTTAAAATATAGAGAAATTTGATTCAACTTTGAGTCTAATAGTATCAAAAGCTCTGTTAACTACGAAAGTATGATTGTCTGTTTTAATGAAAAATTTTAATCAAGAAATTCATTCAAAAAATAAAAAATGAACAAAAACTTAATACTTACATAGAAAATTTCTTTTTGTCTAAGTCAAACAAAATTTCATTTATCTGACTGAAAATATTGATTGTATTTACATATTTCAGCTTTTATTGCAATGTTTTCGATGCATAGTGTTTTTCGATATTACGAAACTTGATAAATACCTGAAGACAATCATCAAGTCGATTATGAAATAGATAATTGAGAAGAAAGGTAATATTATATACAATAAAATTGATTCGTCAAATGAATAAAAATAGAAGAACAATATTATTTAATAAAAAAATACGTCATCCTATGAAAGAATAAACGTACCCAAATCATAAAGGAATGTAGAAAATGCTATTTTCACTAGACATGTAAACCAGTACACAGATTGGTAACTATAAAGTTTCTTTATATTCAGTATTAATACTAACAGAAGTACAATCGTTGTGTCATCGTTGGATAGTAATTTTTCAAAAACTGAATGAAAAGCAATGGTTGACATTTTTAATTATGATATATTATATACATATTGACACAAATGAATTCACGTGTTACCGTATTTTTGTACCAACGCAAAAAAAAAACAAGTATATAAAACGTGTATGAATATTAATGTTCCTCAGAGACAAACTCTCAATTTATATTTTTTGTTATCGTTTTCGAAAAAAGATATTCTTTTTTTTTTTATTCTGTTCTTGTAAAACTTACTAACATTTTATATCTATGAAATTTGATATGTTTGATGAAAATTATAGCTATTGTATATAGAAGTTTCTTATGATATTATATTTTATACAATGTAACATATGATGTCAAAATAAAAATAAAATTATTTACATAGCTATAGTTAGTTACATAAATACAAATAGACTTTTATCTCAAGAAATCTTAATGTAAATAAAAATAAGATAAAAAAAAAAAACATATAAATTTTCGAACATTAATATTTTATGTTATCGCAATTTTTTTTTTTTGTAGGAAACATGACGAAAAATAAATTATTCCTGTAGGATATGAACAATGAAACATTAATTTCAGAGTATTTGACTATGATTAAATGTTAGAAATGAATTTATACACTTCAGTTTATTATCATCATCATTATTCGACTGTGAACAAATGTAGTTTGCAAACTACAACAAATTTATATCCATTCTTCCTATTCGCAAGGGTCTTTCTAATCTTGTTGACTTCCGATTTATAACTTGTGTTATGTCGAAATAAAAATAGTAAACAATAAATTCGATATAATTTTTCGTTTGTCATACAATCGAGTTTCTAATCTTCAAATTTTCAAGTATTATATTCATATATAACAAAATTAACTGATACAATTTTTATCTTTTTCTCTGTATTATTTGCATTAATACAAGCCGACATATTCTAAATAAAAAAATAATAAATATACTCAAATCATCAATTGATTGTGATATTTTTGATTATTCTTTCTTGTAATTGACCTTGAATAAAATATAAAGAGATCAGTGTATGCGGACGCGTGCTTTGTTCAATAGCAAAAAAAAATTATACGAAAAAAAAAAAAGACAAAAAAAATTGTAGAGAGATCGAGACAAAAAAAAAAGAGAAACTGTGGTGTTTGGGATCGATTATATATAACGATGACGACGACGGCTCTACTCTCTCGATTTCTTTGTGTTTATAAAGCGCGCGTGTACATATTGATGTGGAACAAATTTGACAGCAACAACGATGACGACGACAACTGAAGTTCGATATGCAAAAAAATAGTCTTTGGCTTAAATTAATTTTATGTGTTCATTTGCCGCTTGACAAAACGAATTGTCAGTAAGCAGATAGCAAGAAGAATAACAATTTGTTGAAGATTTTGAATGCTAGGACTGCCACCATAAGCTCTTGTTTCTTGATCCCATGCATATTCTAATAGAAAGTAAAAAGACAAAAAAGAAACCAATTAAGTTTATTGAAGAAAAAAAGATTTTTTCGAAATAACTTACTGAAAAAGGCAACAAACGGAATAAATGTAGCCCAAAGTCCAAGAAGACCAATTGCTGATAGACAGCAGAGACAAGTAACAAGGCCACCTACACCACCTAATATTCCTCCAAGTGCGCCTGCGCCACCACCTTTACCACCGCCAGATGCAACAACAGCAACTGGACGGGCTACTGGACGAAGTACAGGTCTGAAATCAAAAGTCCATATGTAATTGTACAAATTAAAAAAAAATAATAATAAAGTTGTACTTACCGTGGTCGGTACATTTCTCAGACAAAGCTGGACTAAGATCTAGAAATAAAATGAGAATATAAGAAAAATCTAATGGTTCTTGATCAATGAAAAAAGATAGCATTTTTTGTTCTTCAACAAAAAAAAAACAAACAATCAATGCTAAATCCTCGTAGATGTGTTCTCTCTCCCTCTCTTGTACAAGCATAAGCATATAGGGCTCGACGGTAATTATTGTTTGAAAAAAATACGCCACTGTATTTCTTCACACTCTGTCTCTTTCTCTCTCTATGTCTCTCTATCTATCTATCTACTCCCATCCGAAGGAGACACATCCATACACATTCACGTCATGGTTGACGGCATTTTTTTTTACTTTCATGATAGTACAAGAGAGAAGAGAGAGAGAGAGAGGAACTGATATATTTCTCACCAATAAGTATAAAATATTATATAAAAAAAAAAGTTATTTTACCTACAATGACTACCAAAAAAAAACCACGAAGAGAGAAACAAGTTATAGACATCAGCCTCCATATTTTATGATGAATATGTATATGTATGACAAGAAAAAAGGCAAAAAAAAAACTAAATCAAGCGTAACGTAGTAAAACGAACGCATGTACGCGTAAAAGAATAACAGGTTTCTGACGAACATACAAGCAAATAAACGAGCATCGACCTTGATATAAAAATTCAACTATGATAATCATACATGTTTGTACAGAACAAAAAGAGTCCAATTTGAAAAGAAAAAAATCAACCGCAACTTATTGTGGCTAAATAAATTACTTAATCAAATACATTATACATATGAATAAAATAATAAAAAAATCTAAATTTAATGAGTAGATCATTTTTTAGAGAATGTTTATTCGATTTTTTTTGTCAAAATCTAATCTTATCCAGTTATTATCATCTTTCATCAAAATAAAAATATGCATATATTTTGATTTTTCTTATTTTCTCTTTAATAATTCATAGACAAAAAAATAGACAAGCGACAGAAAAAAAAAAGATTAAAACAGGCATTTATGTATTTAATAATAGAAACAATTTAGCAGCATTTTATTTGATATTTTTCGGAAAAAAGGAATGATAACGACGACGACGACGATGCCGACTGACAATTATTGTTAATATAATAACGCATTGTACCTGTTCAAAAAAAAAAGACATTTTTTTCCGGCGCGCAAAATATAAAAAAAAGAAAGAAAAATATAGTTGTGTTGCGAAAAAAATAGTTCTTTCAAAAGATATGCGTGTTTGTTGTTTAAATGTGTATCAAGGTGTTTAAATAGATATATTGAATCACCAATCAGGTGCTAACACCACGACGATGTTTTGATAACATATAAATCGAGCAAAGAAAAGCACAGAAGAGAACGACGATATTGAGTTCAATCATTGTACCAGCACCTTGAACATTTCTACGAACTTGTCGTTGAATAGCGTCTAAAAAAAAAATCATTCAATAGAAATTAAATTCATATTAGAAGTAAAAGAAAATATTCATTTACTCATATAAGCTGTAGCACCAATCATAGTAGCAAAAAGTCCTAGTAAGGCTAGTGATGCTAGGCAACCAAGACAAAGAAGTGGTAAGGCTAAACCACCAATCAAACCGCCAATACCACCAGCACCAGCACCTGCACCTAATGGTATTCCAACAGCTCCTGGTGCTGGCGCTCGACGAATAAATCTTACTCCTCGTCTAAAAATTTAAAAATTCCAAAATAATAGATTTTTGTTTTTTGTAGTATTTAATATAAACTTACCGAGGATATGGTCGGGGTCGCGGTGGAGGATACATGATGTTAATATTCACAAGAAAAGTCCTATCAACGGCGACTTAATCTAGATAAGACAAATAAAATAAAGTAAAAAAAAAAAGAAATCGTTGAAGAATTTTCTATTGTAATCCTTCTCATTAACATCAATGTCTTGTTGGTCCTACATACAATATTTCTTCTTCAAACACGGTCCGATACACTTGCTCTCTCTTTCTCTTCCTCTCTTTTTCATCTTTGTTGTTTTTTGTTGATCAGTAAAGAGAAGAAGAAGAAAAGAAAAGGAAAACAACTTATAATTACATATCTCTTCTCAAAAAAAACCTAAGCAAATGCCTCATCGAGCAGACAGGAAAATGGCGAGAAAAAAAAATCGAGAAAAAGTAAAGACCTCCAAAAAAAAACATGACAAAAAAAAGGATGACTATGATATTACAGGCATATACAAAAAAATCGAATTTCGAAGGCAATTCACATTCATACACCTAGAATAGGCAATACGAACTCGCTCAACCATGCCCAAATATAGTGGTAGTTAAAAGCAGATAGTTTGCACAAAAAAGAAAATGAGAGACAGAGAAAAAAAAACGAAGAGAGAAAAAATACCCAACTAGTACTTTTTTTAATAACTACTATGCTAAAAAAAAACGAAAGTGTAGTACAAACAGAGACAAATAGACATAAACGTCATGGCTGGGTGCTTGACGGCAATGTGATGACGCGTAGGTAGATAAGGATTGCAACTGTATGAAGAAAAAAAATGAGAGAAAAAAAAAAGAAATAGAAAACACAATATTATGTCATTGAGAGATGAACTGGTTATAGTTTTGTACCGATGAAAGATGATTGAAGAAAAAAACAAAATGAAAAATATCGAATAAGAAAAAAAAAATGATATTGGATTTAAAATTTTAATAAAGAAAATAAAAAGACCGAAATAGATAAGAATAATATACGACATATGATCTAAATTATGACATTATTAGTATTATTATTATTATTATTAGTTTTTGTTAGGTGTTCTTGATTGTCTTTCAGACACAAGGTTATTTTATCACTGTATATAATTAGATCTATCAAAGTATGAATAGTAACATTTTTCATCGTGAAAAAAAAAAAACATATCCTTTTATAAAACACCTTTCTAATTGATACAAATTTAGCTACACAAATCTATATATATATATCGATACTAAAATTATTCGATCAAAATACAATAGAAATGTTTATTGACTCAAAGGATATTGTAATAGTTCGAGAATGACTTCAATTCTAAATATTGATGCAATTAATAACAAATATAACTTATTTAAAATAAATAAAAAAAAAGGTAAATTCTAATTGAACAATATTTTAATTGTGACAAAATTTCTATTTATTATCAAAATATGTAATTAAATATTTCTTTAACATTAATTAAATAAATCGTAACATACTCTTAATATTTGTATATCTCAATGATTATATAATTATTCATTATGAATGCTCAAATAAGATCATTTGAAAAAATGATAAAGTTTTTCTTTTTATGTGATATCTTCAAAATCGTATTTTTCATAGAAATTTCTCATTTCTCATTTTTCAAATAATATCCAATTCTAAGAACAGAAACAAACAATAATATGTTCGTTCAAGCAGAATTCAACTAACGTGAGAACATGTCCAGGTGATTCGATGAAGGATGACTCGACCGGAGGTTGTTACAACCTTCACTAATGAGAAATTTTTATTATTGATACTAATCAAAAAAAAGTCGGGAAATAAATGACGCTTTTCTGTAATATCATGTAAAATAAAATTAGAAAGTTTTTCGCTATATGAAAAGTAACGACTATAAAGTCATAATTGATCTAAGAACTCGCTGTTCTTTAGTTTGAGTAATATGTTACGAAAATTTACGTTGCAAAAGTTTTATTTTTTAAATAATCGTCACGAATGTAGCTGCTCTTAACGGTGAATATTCTTAAGAAATGTCGTAACTAGACATGTAAAAGGTCAAGTTGTTTTGGTTTTGGTACCGGGAGCTTTTTTTTTCAGTGGTCTCGGTCCTTGTGGTCAGGACTGATGCTGAACATGTTTACTGAAGTGTAAAACTTACTGTAAAAAAACAATATGATAAGCAACTGAAAATTGAGCTTAGCTAAAATGATTTTGTGAATCAAATTAGATGAAGCAGCTTCTCCATCGTGTATTTCAAGTAAATGTGTATTATCAAAGGAAAAAAGGACGATTGTCTAGTGAACAAATACAATCAGACGGTGACTGAGACATATTTTGGTGTTCATAATGATGAAACTGTTTATTTGTTTCTTTTTTATATAGGCGAGTATATGATTGTGATTTGTTTGTTCATGAAGACTTAATATTTATAGATGTTATTTATATTTATGTTGTCTTATTTATTATGATGTGTTCTTTTTTGTATTACAAGATATTAGTATGACAATAATAAATTGATTTATGATGTACCAAAAAATTTCATTTGAAAAGTCACAGGGTTTAAGGAGGTCATAAAGTCTTGGATTTCGGTCCTGGTCTCGGTGACCAAAATTCGATCTAATCCCACATATATCTAGTTATGACTGGTATTTAATAACAATTTAGTTTTTTAAACGTAACGATAAGGGATAGCAAAATTTTTAATCAGTCTGCAAAAAATTTCGCACCGAGAGGTAATACCACTTGCATAAGAGTAATCGGTTTTTGAAGGCTTAAATCTTAATTCAAGGAAATTCTGATTTATTGCAGTTTTTATGAAAGTATGATTTGGATTCATAGTCGTTAGTATGAACGCCTTCGGCATTAAAGGTCTAGAGCAATTTTTTTAAAATTCTTATGAAGATATTTTTCTTTCTTGAAAAAAAAGGAAGATAAAATCGAGTTCTTTTTAATCGTGTAAGATGCTGCAGAAATGAAAAATCTTTCTTTAATTGCGAATAAGTGTAAATGTGTCTCCTAATCTTGATCAATTCCGAACTTCCCTGTGCATCTTTCTTCTGCTCATTCATTTCATCCATCATGCACTTCAGTGTAGATCTCTAATTTTTTTCAATATTTTCTTCATTTGGTTATATCCATTGAACTGTATTCTATACTCAGAGCAAACAGTTAAAAGTCAATCGTTATTTTTTTGAACACACACTACCTCGAACAAAATATTTTTTACACCTCCCGAAGTTTCAAGAATTGGACCAGCTCTCGATACGCTCCATTGGCCGTTATATTTTGCTTACATGTAGGAGAATATGAGTTTTTTTGAAAGCTGAACTTCGGCAAGAGAAATCTACTAAAAAGCCACAATCTCAACTGAATCTAAACATCAGTAGCAATATTCTGGAGGCTACACTACTCTAGTGATTTCCTATATATGTAGGCAAACGAAACGGATCACCTAGGAATGTTAGATGTTCAGGTTTTTTCTTTACTTCATCATTTTGACATGTGGAAACTTCGATACAGTATGAAAAATTTGAAAAGGATACATGTACTTAAACTTTCCGTGTCGAAACATGAATATGATACTTCCGACTCGAGATGATCGAATGGTTGAAAAAAATTACAATTTGATAATCTGGGTTTTCTAAAAAACAAAAAGGTGTACTCTCTAAAGAAGAAACCATTGGTTTGAATTAAAAATTTTAGAGCATGCTTTTAAATCTGAGACCTATCTATGGAAAAGTATCAGGCTAAAAAAATATGTTGTTCGAAATTTTTTATTTCAAAAAACCTTAAAGTCGATCATAAGCACAATAAAACGAGCACAACTTCAGAAGAAAAATTTAATAACACCAATCTTTTTCAAATGTTTCATACTTCATTAAAGGCAACTTGCAGCTGAAAGATGACATAACAATAGTTTGAACATGCAAGTGTCCTAACTGATAACAGAGGTCGAAACAGACGATTCAGCCGACCTCATATCTACTTACCTGGAAAAAGTACATGCTCCGGTTTTTGAGCTTGCCACGGACCAGCCAGGTCGTTTGTCTATCATGTTTTTTCTTACTTTTCAACAGAAACTTGGTTTTTTTTTCATGCAAAATATTGATATTGGAATAGATAATGGAGCATTCTTTGTAGAGCCTTGGGATTTCGATTAGCAAAATCGAAAAAAAGCGGTTCCTAAAATTTTTTCTAGGAACTGACGATTTCATCGTAACATACAAAATACCGAGTAATTGAGTTTTTTTTCGAGAAATTTCTGCATTTTATTTTTGGGATTCTTCATGTTTATTACTTCATCAAATAAGTAGCTCCTTCAAAAGGTAGAAGAAAAAGTCAAATAATGAGATAAAACACTAACATACAATATATTCATATGAAATATTAATATTACAAGTTCTAAAAAACACTTACTTCATCATTTCCTTATCCTCTCAATGATCATGATCACAAAGAACAATATCATCTTCGTTACTCATTCTAAATGTCTTTTTTGTTGTCATAGCTGTAGATTGTTCTTTAGTTTGGACAGGAGATTGTAGAAGATAATTGTTCAACCACCTTTCTTTTCTTTTCAGTTGTATCAACTTTATCAATTTTTCTCATCACATGATTTTAGTGGTGCTAAATTTTTCTGAAAAAATAACAATAGGAGTAATTTTTCTGTACCAAGATCGATGGACTTATTGATACTTGTGTTTTTTTGCAGACGAGAACAGTCCTTCTACAATGGTGTTCGATGTTTGTGCACAGCATAAAAATCTTCAGCTATAGAAAATGAGATCAGTAATTTTAAATTCTGTTGTTGAGGAATTATAAAACATCATCATGTCCAGTGAATGGGACATTTGATAGCATATATTCATCTAATTCATACGGCGTTGTTGACAATGTTAAGAAATTTTATGGTATATCAAAACAGTATGAAAGAGAACCTTTTGATGTTGTCGATTGAGAATCAAGTGAATTTGCATGAACAGGTGATGGAGTGGTAGTTGTATATGTAGTAGATAGTATTGTTGGTTGCCGTTTAAGAATCTCCGTTTTAACTAACTTAAGAGCTTTTTCTTGAAAACCAGGATTACTACGAAAACTTTTCATGAATAAATGAAAAAAAGTACTGATATAATGTGCAACTTGCAACATAACCTCTGTTGCAAAAGTCTTTAGACAAAATGTTCGTTCGTTTTCCGATCACTTAAAAGCAATTAGTGGGAGTCAAAAGCAGTTAGTAAGACTCAGAATTTTGTGCTCTTTCCGAAAATGGACTCAGAAATTTTGTGTCTGTTTTTGTTCGAGAGTAGTGAGGACATCTTTGAAAGACCTAAAAAATTAGTTTGGACGGAAAATTTTTTCGTACATTTTCACTATTGGGATCCGAAACTAAAAGTTGAAATTTTTGTTGATAGATTAGCTTGTAGAGCAAAATTTACCCTACAAAACGCACTATTTGACTTTCTTTTTATCTTCCAATAAGGTACCTAAATTTTCGTTTTTCTGTATCACCCTCATTTTGGAAAATCGACTTTTTGACGAAAGCGCGTTTTACGTAGAAAGTAGTTCTTGAGAATATGCTTATAGGTTCAAGCTAGAGCTTAGTGCGATATCACGTTTTGTAAAGAAGTGTTCGCTCTACAAAATCACCGACTCCGACAATTTTTAGCACCTTCGCAAAGGGATTTATGGGAGTTAGCAAAAACCCTGTTTATTCGTCGTCCAAACCAATTTTTACACCTTTCAAAGATTCCTTCACTTCTCCCAAACAAAAACAGACATCCAATTTCTGAGTGCATATTCGGAAAGAGCATAAGATTCTGGTAATAACCTATAGTTTTCCACTCGTCTAAAATACTTTCAAGCATGCCAAAAAAGAACAAACATTGTGTCCAGAAACTTCGGCACACCCGTTCCGTCCAAACTAATTTTTTAGGCCTTTCAAACATTTCCTCACTACTCTCGAACAAAAACAGACACAACATTTCTGAGTCCATATTCGGAAAGAGCACAAAATTCTGAGTCTTACTAACTGCTTTTGACTCGCACTAGTTGCTTTTAAGTGATCGGAAAACGAACGAACATTTTGTCTAAAGACTTTTGCAACAGAGGTTATCTTGAAACTCTCACCGTCAAGAAAAATTTCGGTTCCGATTCCGGTTCCATCCTTTTTTATTTCACGATTCCGGTTCTCGGTTCCACTTTTTTTGGAACCGTAGGGCTCTAATTCTTTGACTCTGGAAACTGAGAAATGATGCTTTTATTATTTTTTACTGGACATAATCATACCTAGTCATGCATTGAGACTACATTATTCATTATCTATATGTTTATTTATCCATTTCGGTATGCTTTTATTCGCACTTTCTAATGGGTTACCACGGTTGTTCAATTAGTAATTCTTATTTTTTCTGATTCACATTTATATTGCTGTAATAGTACGGAATTTGACATACTCTCTTCAATTGCATATTTCATTAGATGCATTGAAAATGTCCATAGTCAAAAACCGATCTTTTTTTAATCCTTTCACCGTAGTTACCTATTCTATTAAATCAATAAATAGTTCGCTTGATGGATGACTTTCTTGCCTTCATATAAAAATCAGTGTTCTCTTTTCAATTAATTTTCATCATAATATCAGTATATTGAAAAATTCCATTCATGAAAACAAATGACAGACATAATGTAGCAGTAGAAGTTCATATACTTTTTGTAAGCCTATTTAAATCTTTGCCTAACGAGTTTATATGTAGACGAATCAATAAACATTTTATTCAAATATTCTCAAACATAAATTTCGTGTAAGTCATATTTATATTTCACAAATGAAAAATACTTTTAAAACTTTCAAACGAATATATATATATATGATTTATTATAATACTACATCAAACAGCGACAAACATAAAGCGACAATTATATTCAATTAACTTGTTTAAATTCTACACGTTTATCTTTTGGCCATTCAACAGTATATTCAAGTGGTAAACGACATTCACCTCTTCCTTGTAAAATACATTTCCATTCTAAATTATTTGAATCATTCATTGTTACTGTATAATTTAAATTATGTTCTTTCGATCGTAAATCAGGTATTATTAATTTAACTTTAATTTTTTCATCAGATGATAATGGAACTTGTTCATAAACATAAATTATAACTTCAGTTGATTTTGTATTAATAAGATGTATTTCATGACGAATATTTTCATGATGTACTTTTGAAATAAGACCTTGAGTATCTGTAAGTTTTTTTGCTGGTTTATATTCAACTTTAACACTTGCATCTGTACCTAATGGTAAATCAAATGTATCACCTACACAAACATTATCAATTGCACTATGAGTAACAAAATTATTATCCATAAATACTGATGCCGGTCCAGCTAAAAGTTGTTTATCCGATGTATTTACTGTTGATGCTTTAAGATAAGCATGAAGTGATAATTTTGGTATAACTGTATAAGTAAATGTTGAAGTTAAATCAAGTACACCAATAGTTACTTTATGTGGTTTGCCCTATATTTAAGAACGATGAGATAAACCAAAAAGAAATGAAAATAAACATACATCAGCATCTATAGTTGTTCGTCGAGGAATAGCAAAACTTGTACTTGACATACTTGCTTCGGTTTGAGCAGCTAAAACATTGACCATATTTGATGGTTGCCGTTCATTAGTTTCCTCTAATGACGAGGCAGCAAGAGATGTTTGTGCACGCATTCTCATAAATCCACTTGATTTTTTTAATGAACTTGTAGAGCTCTCTAACAAGCCTGCTGCACATAGATTGTGTGTTCGGTCATAGTCATAATAGGGTACTTCGTAACCTATTTTGAGTGTTGCAAGTTTTGGTGGAACACCTCCAAGTGATGGAGTTGCTGTCGATAATGACAATTGTATATCAGGCCAATTCTCTTGACTTTTGTTGACCTAAAGATTATATAAAATATTTATTTTTTTAATATGTAAATTTTCATAGACTTACAATAATACCATAATAAGTAAGTTGAGTTTGTTGTCGTGTTATTTCTGAACTAGTAACACGAACATCATAACTAGCACTCCATGAACAATTACTAATTAAATATGATACTTCCAAAGCAATATCAATATCATTACTTCCGATATAAACAGTTATAGTTACTTCTCGTTTTGTTTTTTGACGATTAGCTTGTCCTTCTACCCCATGTTCATTAATTTTGCTACTTAATCCATCTTTTTGTTGTGTTAATTTTTTTATTTCATTTTCTTCATGTATTGTTTCATTATCTAATTTTAATAAAGTTTTATGATAAAAATCCATAAATTGTTGCATTAAATCAAGATCATTTATATTCAAATGTTCATCTTGATTCATTAATTTTGATGCTCGTCCATCAAGCCATGCACGTTGTTTAACAATTCGTGTTAATTCTCGTTGATGTTTATCAATATCAACTTGTACATTATTAAATTCATTTTGTAATTGATCTAATGGTGTTAAATCTATTTCTTCTATTGTTGTTGTTTCATAACGTGTTTGATATGAAACTTCAAGAATAGTACATGCTTTACCTGTTCCACCACTAACATGTAATGATGTTAAATCAACAGATGGTGAAAAACCTTCGAATACAAGATCATAAGTACCTTGATTATCAAAATGATGTTGTATACGACGTGTCACTTCAGCACGATCATTATAAACAGTAACATATTGAATTGGACATTGTTGATCAATATTAAAATGAACGATGGATGCTTTGGAAGTAGGAGGAGCTTCTTTGGCTGTAGAAGGTGTACTAGTCAATGTTGTTATTGTTTGCGCTTCCATGATAACGAAGAATAACAAACACTATCTATTCTAATGGCCTATATATATATATGGTTATTGCTCATATGCTTTGCAATTCTTTTTACGTTCTTAGTTTGTCAACATGGAAAAGTGTAACAATAATTGACGGACGCATCATGAATCATTATTTTTGACGTGTAAACTTTTTTTTTTTCTTTTATGAGAATGAATCATTCACATTACATGGAAGTCGTTGTTTTTTTTCTTGCGTTCTGTTGTGTTCTTATCCTTGAGAGTAAACCTATGAAGTGAAAATTTTCTTTTTAATTACATTATAAAGAAAGAATAACTTATATGAAAACATACAGAAAAATATTTCTATAGATATCTATCATAGTAACAAGCTAATATCTTATTTAAATAAACAAACATTTTTTATTGTGACAAGTGAATTTTAGAATTTAGTTGAGATTGAAATATTTTTGTTTTTTTTGTAATTCTCTAATGCAAGATATTGTGCATGTATAAACAAAAAAACTTGTTTATTGTTAATATGATTTAATTCTATAATAAGTTGGCTATATTTATTTTGTTTAATAGAATATATCGGCAAAATCAGGCAGAATAGGACATTTGCACCTTTCATTTGAGGTTGATTCTCTATAAGAGTGAATTTTTTGGATAAATTCTTTTGGCATGGGCTTATGTGAAAATGTTTGGTCTTTCACATGGTTATTAGTTAAAATTAATTAATTAATTAAAAAGTAATTAGCGAATATCTCGCTAGCCATATGAGAAAAAAATCTGAAAACTTCAGGATAGAGTCTAGGGCATAAGCTGCATCTATGGTAAAATTTTCAGCAAGATTGGACTCCAAAAAGTTTCTTCCAAAAAATCGGTTTTCTAGAGACCATAAAAAGTGAAGAAGCGAAAACTTTTGTCCTATCATCATCTAGGGAGTCTAGGTAAGGATTTGTTACGTTTGAAGTCGATTTTGAACTTTTCAGTTGGTTACAAGAGCACCATCTCCATTGTGTAGTCGTACAGTGTCACGTCGCTAACGACAAATAAATCGTTTTTTTTGAAAAACCTAGACATGCTCAGAAAAATTTTGCATATAGACTTTATAGCTTTAGAAGCCGTCTACAGAATACCCTATTTAGTTTTCTAAAATTGTGCATGAATTGGGAGTTTTTAAAAACTAAAATGCACGAAGTGGAAATCGATGTCCTTTTTTGTGTCACGTCGCTAACGGTAGTTTTTTATCAATAACTCTTCTGAACAAAGCTTCATAGCGCTGATTTTTTTAGGGTATCTAGAGTAACTTAATGTCCATGCAACATATAAAAATCAGATCTAACAGAGCTCATTATCTCGAGATACACATATTTTAATTTTCCGAAGTCACATCGCTAACAAATGATTTTGCCCATATATATATTTTTTTGATTTCTGAGATACAAGAACATTGAATGATTGATGAAATTTATTGAAAAAATGTTTCGTTTAAAATTAATTCGTGCATTTCAAACAGTGACGCAGCCAGAAATTTTTTTTGGGGGGGGGGGGGACCGTAATAGAAAAAAGGCATTTTTTGTCTGGCAAAAACGAATCAGCCTGTACCCCCCCTCCAGGCATTTCGGGGGGGACCGATCCCCATAATCCCCCCCCTGGCTGCATCACTGATTTCAAATTCAACTAAATTCTCATATCAACAGGGATATTATTATATCCTTATGGATAGATAAATTTATCTTCAAAGATTATGTGTTTTTACAACATATGGTATAACCATACAAAAAAAAAATTAAACTTTATCTAGTTGAATTTTCAAGGCAGAAATATAAGAAATAATTTTGAAAACACTTTCCTATTGATTTTTATTTCAGCTGTCGTTTACAGAAAATATTCTTTAGACTTCTCTTGAAACGAAAGCTTCATCTATCATAATACTCTATTTTTTTTCAAGATTGATAACAACTGAAAAAAATCATTCGACAAAATACAAATTATTTAATAATCTATTCGATCATACTTTATAAACTTATTTTATTGCATGTTGCAACACAATTGAAACTCATAAGAGCAGTTAAAGCATTGGTTACTGATGCCATATACGAAGTTTCTTCCAATAGGAAAATTTATTGAATGTGAAAAGAATATTGATACTTTTAGTATCTTATAATATTTATATTTAAGTATTACAAGAGAATTTCATCAACTGATTAATCACTTTTGAGTTGAGACAATGTGTATCATGTCGACATTGAGCAAGTTTTACTTTTTCTATTATTTCCTTTCCAAAGATGTAAATATATTAACAAAGTTTTACTTTTACACATGAGAGAATATCGAACTATTCAACATTTAAGGATAGGAGATGCTAGAAAAGTTACAACTTTACGGTTGTTGAAAAATCCCGTAAAATTTCGATATCTCAAAAACGAAGATTCAGAAAAAACAAATCATTCTAGACTTTTTCGATTACACACTAGTATTTATCAAACGAATATCGTCTCGGTCGAAAAGCGATTTGAAACTGTTCTCGTCAGAAGTAATAAGATAAAGGTCCGAACTGTTTTCAGAGTATTCATAATTCATTAGAGTACACATAGTCTCCACTTCAAAGCAATTAACTAGTTGACGGACTTTCCTCGTTAGCCGCAATTAAACATATAAAATTCCATGTATTATTTTATTTTATTTTTTTTTGTATTTAGAAGAAAAAAAGATTTCTAATGTCCAAATTCTTTTTCTAAATCTGGCCATAATTTATATGCTCTTCGATAACATTTACTAGCTTCTTCATGACTTGATTGATCTTCCAATTGTTCAGCTTGAGCAAGTAATTCTCGTGCTTGCTGTTCTTCTTTTGACATCGGGTTGATTAATATTCTTTTATACATTACATCACTATTGATAATAAATATTAAAAAATAATTTCAATTAATAAACAAAGAAAAAAAAAACCAATATCGAATAATTGAATATTTTACCTGCGCATGATATACTTCTTTCCAGTTAATACTGCTTCACCTTCATGAAACATTTCATGTTGAAAAATTAAAACCATTCCTAAAATAATATGATTTTAAATCCAAAAAAAAAAAAAATATTCTATTCATAAAATACCAGTTTCAGGTTTTAATGCATAAGTAATTGGATGTGGTTTAGAACTATCATCAAGAAAATTCGTATTACCACCAGTAAATGAATCATTAAGATATGCCATAATTGTTAGTTGACTTTGTTCCATATAAGATCGTTTATAAATTCCATCGAAATGAGGGGTAAAATATTGACCTGGTTCATATCTAAATCAAAATCAATGTATTTCTTTTTTTGATTTTATTTTCCTACCGGCATATTCTTATACGTTCATTAAGATTCATTAATTCCCAATGTGAAGTATTTTTTTCACCAGGCCATTGTTTTGGTAGAAAATCTTCATTTATAAAATAATCATATAACTGAAAAAGAATATATTAATTTACAAAATATTACCTTCTACACGAAGAAAAAATTCATTTGCAAGATTTCGTTGTGTTATTTGAGTTCTAAAAATGAATATTGTTTATTAGCAAAAAAAAATAAATAAAAGAATATTCCTACCTTGTATTTGTTCGATAATTGTCTGCATATAAAAGTTTATTAAAACCTATTTGATTTATTTAAAAATATAAAATTAATTTATATATATATAGATATATTTACCAATATTTTCTATTGAATTAATGAGAAACTGACATTCATCTGATAAAAATACATTATAAAGAACAAAACACACGAGATTTTTTTCAGGAAACAGATCAACCTATCAATTGAATATAACATAAATTTTTCCATAAAATAAATCAAATAAATTTACTTTACGTATACGTTGTTTAGCATTTTCATTTTCTGAATGAAATTTCATTAAAAAGTCATGCCATTCAACTTCCAAATCTTGTATAGAACCTTCATCACCCATTTCTTTTTTTGGTTATTTTCGAATAGAACATGAATGATGTTTTTTTGTAGTCTTTTACATATACCTTGCGCAATTACAATAAGCATGTGTCATAAACATTTGAGAATAGAATAAGATAAAACAAAACAAATGTTCTTGCGAAATTAACTGTTTGACGAGAGATGAGACATACATGTCAAACTACTCGTTAATAGATTAATCTATTTTCTTTTACTTTACAAAAAATTTCAAAATAAATTATACTTATATTGATCGCTATAAATAGACATATTAGCCAAGTATTGTTGAGCTAACTCTCGTACATAATAATCTACATCAAAGCTCAGTTGACTATATCATCGACATCGACAGGACTTATGACGGAACGTCTTCAGATATTAAACCGCTTTTCGACCGAGACGATATTCATTTTGATGAGTAATAGTGAATGATAGAAAAGTCTAGAATAGTTTGATTATGACTTCAAACTTTGCACGAACAAAGTTCTCAATGATATTAATTCATTGGGTAAAGTTGTAACTTTCCTAGTATCTACCATCATGATATATTGAATATTCAATCAACTAATCTCATTAAGAATTTTGTTCGTGCAAAATTTGAAGTCGAAAACCAATTTTCCACGTCACCTAAGGCGAGCCATAGGTTTTTGTTGAAAAACTCACGAGAGAATCTTCCAGGTATTCCCTCCGAATTTCAATGAAGTTTTGTCTATAGATACTATGCAGTGCCCTAGTGAAAACTCTAAAAGGATTTGGGTGCATGTCGAAATGTGGATAAGCTATCAGATTTTTAATATATCTATTTTCCAGAAGTTCCTGAGGTTTTCGAAAAAATCGAATCTTCGAATTTTGATCTGAAACTTTACGTATTTATAGGCCTCAGCTATGCTAGCTTCCATAAAAAAAGTTCAGAAGTTTTGAATAATGTCTCTTCCGTTTTTTTTCATAGATAGTGTATAAAGCATGAATTTTTTTTCAAAATCTATATATCTCGAAGAGATTTTGTTCAAAATTAATGAAGATCTATAAATGCACAAAGTTTCAAGTCAAAATTCAAAGATTCAATTTTT